ATCACGGGTGGGTCCGCTCACCCTCGAAGAGTTTTAAAAAGGGTTCCTTGTCGAAGGGTTCCTTATCTGAGGGTTCCTTATCCTAGGCTTCCTTATCCTAGGGGTTCCTTATCTAAGGATTCCTTCTCGAAGGGTTCCTTATCCGGTGCCCCCGCCGTGAGGGGCGATGGCGGCAAAAAGGGGTAAGCGACACGCACGCAGCGGGGCCGGCCGTGACCCCCGCTTTTTCCGTCCTCCGAGCTCGGCTCGGCCGCGGTCTCCGATCCTCCTCCGGGGGGGGGGGGGGGGAACGCGGAGGGGAGAGGATGGGGGGGGAGGGGAGGGGAGGGGAGGGGAGGGGAGGGGAACGCGGAGTTGAGAGGAGGGGGGGGGGGAGGGGGGAGGGGCAAGCTAGGTGCGCTCGCGTCATATCTGACGTCCTGCCTGCCCCCTCCCTCCCAGTCATGGCGTAGATTTTCCTCTCTATTTCGCACAATCGGATGTCGTAGCATGGCATAGCATGGTGTTGAATATCAAGGCGTAGCATGACATAGCATGGCGTGGCGGCGCCCCAAAGTGTGGGGGGGTGCTTCTGCGGCCTCAAAAATCAACGAATCGGCACCGAATGTGTAATCATTTTCGACGGTTTTTTCGCGAGGCCATTTTCTAGATTGTGGGGCTTGCTTAGAAGGACCGAAAACCATGCCGTGGCATGGCAGCGGAAGTAATGACGCAAGCGATGCAGCGGGAGCACGATTCGGGACGAGCGGAAGCGCGGAAATGATGCCAGCGCTGCAGCGGGAGCACGATTCGTAACGAGCGGAAACCCGAAAATGAGGCCAGCGCTTCAGCGGGATCAACATTTCGCGAAAAAACCCAAGCGAACACCTCTTTCCCGGGAATCCTATGTGTAAACAAGCAGTACGGAGAGGGGGGGCCAGATATTTCCTGTACGTCACCAGGGGATAGGGGAGAGTAGCATTCATATTGTATACTTGTGGACGGGTGAGAGGCGGAGGTGAAGGGGAGCGGGGGGAGGGGGAACAGAGGGGGGAGAGAAAAGCGGGGGGCGCGGTGGAGCGTGTGTGTGTGTGTGTGTATGTGTGTGTGTGTGTGTGTGTGTGTGGGTTCCCTCTGTCGAGCGGGAGATCGACTACAGAATTCATGCTCCTACGAGTTGTTGTTGTTTTTTTGTTCGCCGAGCCCATGGGAGTCACGTATCATGTTCGTAGGTGTGCGAGCATGTTATATGTTTTTGCGTGAAAGTCGGCGAACAAGTAAATTTCGGGGTAAATCAATTCTGTAGTCGAGCTTCCACTCGACTCTGAAGCCGTGTGGGGGCAGGAACATCCCAAGCCTCAAGGAGGGAGGGCGGTATTTGTGTGTGGGTGTGTGTGTGTGTGTGTGTGCGTGCGTGCGTGTGTGTGTGTGTGTGTGTGTGTGAGGAGCGGAGGCGTTGGCATCTCGGAAGCGATCTGGAAGCGGAGCTTGGGAAGTGGCTAGAGCAAGCGCGCGATCCCGAGGCGGAAGCTGCAATCAGCCCTGGGCAACCTTGGTAGGAGGGGTTCGTTCTTCGGTTTGGAGTCGTCGAGTGCTACAAGCAAGCCGAAGGTAGCCGAAGGTAGGACATGTGTACCAGCGGCAAGTGATAGACAACGCGCTCTCATCTCCAGAGGCAGCTAGCAATTTCCTGCACCCTCTATGCCATCTTGCTTGCCACATTGAGGTCCTCCCCCACGTACTGTCATACTGTCATTATTATCCAGCTGCCTCTGGCGAACCCCGCCACCGTGCCTGTGGCGAACCCCGCCGCAGTGCCACGATGTTGCATCGCGGTGTGACCGTATCGTTGCTTGATGGTTGCGTTGCCTTCCGGGCTGCTTCTTGAAAGCTCCAGGTGAATTCCTGGGGGTCTCTTGCATGCCTCTTGTGAGCTTCTGCATGGCCTCTGCTTCGAACAATGTATAGTGGACGTCGGCCCATCTATCCCGCCACCGTGCCTGGGTCGTAAACACGATGTCTTTTTCCCGGATTTGAGGGCTGTAGGGTTCTCTTTTAGAGGTTTACCCCCGGTTTTGACGGCTGTAGGGCCGGCGAATTTCTTGTGCGATAAAAAACGAAGTCGCGTAGGGCCGGCGAATTAAAATTTGAGGATGTCTCGAGCGAAACGCTTGTGTTTCAGAACTTGTTGAGGATGTCTCGAGCGAAACGCTTGTTTAGTGTTATATATTGTCCTCTCCTGGGGACCTGAATTCTGATGATTTCTCAAGTGGATTGCTTGTTTTCACGTGGCCAGGTCTTGAGGATGTCTCGAGCGAGACGCTTGGTTTCACGCCTCCAGGTGGCCCAGACAGATGTCTAGCATGAGGATTTGTTGAGGATGTCTCGAACCAGAGGCTTGTTTTCACGTGTCCAGGTCGCCCAGGCGGATGTCTAGCATGAGCATTTGTTGAGGATGTCTCGAGCGAGACGCTTGTTTGCACGTGTCCAGGTTGCCCAGGCGGATGTCTAGCATGAGGATGTGCTGACAACGTCTTGAGCGAAACGCGTGTTTTCACGTGTCCAGGTCGCCCAGGCACAGCACAGCCCTCGGCACGGTACATCAATATCGATACCCTTAGCATTGCAGCCTGGCATGTTGCCTGGCACGTTCCGCGGAGCGTCCCGTGGCGAGTCCCCCTGGCACGTCGCGCGGTGCACGTCCATTGGCACGTTCCGTAGCGCGTCCTCTTGGCACGTCCCGCGGTGCGTGCCCATGGCACGTCCCCTGGCACGTCGCCTGGCGTGTCCCTTGGGACGTTCCGCGGCGCGTCCTCCTGGCATGTCCCCCTGTCGATTAGTTCTGGGGCAGCTACCATCTGCTCAGGCAGCTCGAGTTTAAGATCCAGATCAGTTCGGTCAGGACTCGGATGTAAAGAGGACTCGATCCACAACGCTATATAGAGCACAATCGCGGCATGGTACATCGCAGTTCAGCACGGCCAGAACAGTGCAGCCGTCGGCACGGTACATCAAGATCGATACATTCAACATTGCATCTTGGCACGTTCCTTGGCGCGTTCCTTGGCGAGTCCACCTGGCACGTCGCGCGGCGCGTCCCCTGGCACGTCCCGCGGCACGTCCATTGGCACGTTCCGTAGCGCGTCCCCTTGGCACGTCCCGCGGTGCGTGCCCATGGCACGTCCCCTGGCACGTCGCCTGGCGCGTCCCTTGGGACGTTCCGCGGCGCGTCCTCCTGGCATGTCCCCTTTGTCGATTAGTTCTGGGGCAGCTACCATCTGCTCAGGCAGCTCGAGTTTAAGATCCAGATCAGTTCGGTCAGGACTCGGATGCCAGGCATGGAACATCGCAGTTCAGCACGGCGTAGCACAGCACAGCCCTCGGCACGGTACATCAAGATCGATACATTCAGCATTGTATTTGCCCGTCGCCCAATCAGGTGTCTCTGAAGCGTTGCCATGCCTTACATTTCTATATTCCTTTCCGGGTTCGTGGGTCGATCATGTTTATTTAATCGCTTCGCTCATTCCGCCGGCCCTGGAGCGCTATTTGGGGCCTCTTGGGGCCGTTTGGGGGGCTTCTTGGGGGCTTCTTGGGAGCGTCTGGGGGCTCCTTGGCGGCGTATTGGGCTCCCCTGGGGCCTCTTGGGGGGCTCTTGGGGGCCCCTTGGGGCGGGCGGGGGGGTAGTCGTTGGCAGCCCCCCCCTCAGAGGCCACGATCCTCGTGAGGGGTGGCGAAAAATAGCCTCCCCCCTGGGGATCGCCCGGGGGTCAGCCGGGGATCGGCTGGGGTACTTTTCGTCCGGGCCCCCCAGGGGCCGCCCCGCGCGCGCGAACTAGAAATATTGTTAAGTAGTTACCGGAGATCTTAGCACGCCTCTGGCCCGTTGGGCCAGCGAATTTCGGCGCCTCGCTCACCGAGCGGGTGTTGTCGAGGACGGAGGCGTCGGAAAACTAGGAGGGGCGAAGTTGCTGGCCCTGGGGCCGCCTCCAGGGTGCGGCCTCATGCGCCCGGTCGCAGCCAGGACCAAACCCTCGTGCGCAGCGGTGAGCGTTCGCCCCTTCGGTCGTGCACCTCGCTCCTCCGCAGCCACTTTGGCGAAGGTGGCGTGGCCTGCTCTTGATGAGGTTCGAGTAGATGGGGGGTCGCCCCGCATCCCCGATACATCGACGATGCGGCTCGACATGCAGTCCGATTTTCTCCCTCGCCGGCGCATCGGCGATGCATCGGCGATGCGGCGCGATCCTCCGACCACATCTACTCGGACTCCACTCAGGAGGCCTCTGCTGCTCACGCGGGGGCCCAGTCGGACGGGGCTGGGACGAGAATGGATCCGTTCTAGAGCGTTCCAGAACGTTTTCAGAGTGTTCCGGAACGCTCTGATAAGGCCGCGGCGCCCGAGACATCCTCTGGAGCCGCCGGGTCTCAGAGATTCTCGATGTATCCTCACCCGAGTGTATCATCGTCCTGGCTTCGTCTTAAGGCTCCCCCCCGTCCGCGGCGGCGCTCGTGCGGGCGGTCATGGCGGCGGCCGCCCTGTCCGCCCCCACGGCGCCCCTCGCCGCAGCCGCGCTCGCCTCGCTTGGGCGGCCCGCCGCGGCCGCGGCCGCGGCCGCGCGGCCGCCGCGGCGCACCGCTCCGCGGGGCCGCCGCGCAGCCGCGCCGGTGGCGGCGGCGGCCGCGGCTGCCAGCGCTCTGGCGGCCAGGCGGCCGCGGCAGTGCGGCGGGCTGGCGGGCGCCGCCGTGGCCCGCGGGCATGGCAGGCGGTCGTGTCCGTCGACGGTTCCCGGCGGCTTTCCTGCGCCTGCTGCGCCTCGCCGAGCGCGTGCCACGAGCTGCGATCCTGAAGCCAGTCGACGGGGGGGAGAGGAGGAGAAGGTGCCTGTGTGTTCCGCTGCTCGTTCCGGAGGAAGCCCTCGCCGCCACGGCCGGACTTTCCGCGGAGGTCTTGGGCAGAGTGCGCCCCGCGAGAGGCCAGGGCAGCAGCCAGGGAGCGGTCTCGGCATCGTTCTGCCTCCCAGGCGGAGCGGCGTCGTGCGCCTTCGCGCCGGGGGCGGGGCGGGGCCGCAGACGCGCCCCTTCGGCGCCTGGGCGTCGCCGATCACGGCGGAGTCGATCACCGCCGCCACCGTGGGCCTGGGCTCGCTGAAGTGCGCTCCAGACGGCACGCTCTACTGGCTGGAGGGCCGCCCCCAGGAGGGCGGGCGGCAGGTGGTCTGCCGCCGAGCCACGGCTCAGGAGGTCGACGGGGGCCAGGCCTCCGAGCGGGGCGGCGTGGAAGCCACGCCCCCGGGCAGCAACGCCCGCACGCGCGTGCACGAGTATGGTGGTGCCGCCTACCTTCTCGGGCCCGAGGGTGATGGTGTGATCTACAGCGACTTCGCAGATCAGCGTGTGCGCTGGGCAAGGGCTGATGGCAGCGTACTGGAGCTCACGCCAAAGAGCGCCTACGAGGAGGATGTCCGCTACCGCTTCGCGGACGCCGTTGTCGATGCAGCCAGGAGTCGCCTGATTTGCGTCCGCGAGGACCACACGGACCCAAAGCCTGCCAGCGTTGTGAACACCATCTGCTCTCTGGCACTCGACGGCACCGGCCGCATGGACGTTCTTGTCAGCGGTCGGGACTTCTACGCGGCGCCCCGCCTGAGTCCAGACGGGGCCCGTCTCGCTTATGTCTGCTGGGATCACCCGAACATGCCTTGGGATGCCACGGAGCTGGAGGTGGCGAGCCTGGATGCGGGCGGCAGCGTCTCTGCGACGGAGGCCGTCTGTGGGGCAGAGGCACCGACGTCCGTCCTGCAGCCAGCGTGGTCACCCGACGGAGTGCTGCATTACATGGCCGACTCGAGCGGCTTCTGGAATCTGTACAGCCACGCGGATGGCAAGAGCACGAACCTGTGCCCCAAGGATGCGGAGTTCTCCGGCGCTGCTCCTGGGTGGGCCCTCGGCGGCCAGAACTACGCCTTCCTTCCCGGCGGCCGCGTGGTGACCAGCTACCAGGACCAGGGGAAGGTGCCCAAGCAGGGGTGGAGCGGATGTTAAACCTCAGGGTGCATACTTCGAAGAGGTAGTGGGCGGAAATCTGGGGGAAACGAAACTTCGATATGGTTCGGCGTTGACGACGGGGTAGTGGGTGGGAGTGGGGTGGTGGGGGAGAGGGGGCGAACGCTGTTGCATGAAATTGGTCTCAGCCCCGCCACCAGGCACTCATGGTCCCTTCTGGCGCCGGGGGGGTCAGGAAATCCAGCTAAGTATAGCTGATCCGGTGATCCCTCTATTTACGACCCCCGCTCTCGTCCACCCCGAATGTTGTAGGATGTTGTGCGAATGCAGCCGCTTAACACCAGAGCTGACCTAAACCAGGATCCAAACGAATGGTACAAATCTGGAGATAGCCCCCTCAAAGGTCTCTAGGAAAAAGGGGGTCAGAGTTCACCCTCCCTGATAGATGCTTTGAGACGTGGACCCCAAACAACTTTCCAAGGAAGTTTCGCCTCCTCTCTCGCTCTCTCCCTTCTCCTCGCCCCTTCTGCTGCCCCTTCCGTACGTCTCTACTCAGTAGGGAGAGGAGGAGGAGGAGGAGGAGGAGGAGGAGGAGGAGGAGGAGGCGGAGGAGGAGGAGGAGGAGGAGGAGGAGCTGGAGCAGGAGGAACAGGAGGAGGAGGAGGAGGAGGAGGAGCAGGAGGAGGAGGAGGAGGAGGAGGCGGAGGCGAGCGTAGCATCTCCACCTTTTTCCCCAGCCCTCCTGTGTGTAGGGTATTCGTTTGGAAGAGACAGTACCCCGCGTCGTCCTTCCTCCTCCTCCCCCCTCCTCCCATCTCCCATGCCCTATTCTGCCTCTTCCCTCCGAGTGCCCATGTCGGCACACGCCTCACACGTTTTGTGGCCCCATAGGGAGCTTCACTAAAGCTCCAGCGGCAGGGTCCGCATGGTGGCTCTGCACTCATTTCGGCACATCCCTGCCCCACAGGAAGCTCCCCGACGGCCCCAACGGCAGGGTCTGCATGGCGTTTCGGCACACCCCTGCCCCATAGGGAGCTCAACCGAAGGCTCCAGCGGCGCCGTAGCCATTTTGGCTCAAGCTCGTGGAGACCCACTTCGACTTCTGCGTCGGACACCGCTGCTGTCGGCGCCTCTGCGGCGAGGCGCCTCGCTCGCCGCAGACGCGCGATGCCTGTGAGGCTTGGCTGGTGTCGCACGCGGGGGCCGCCGCGCCTGGCTCCTGGCAGGACAGGGAGCAGGCCGCGCGGCCCGCGCTGGTCGCAGCAGCCGCCCAGCGCGTCCCTGGTAAAGCGCGCCGGCGGCGCAACGCTGCCCTCCACGCGCGGCGCGTGCCTCCTCGCGGGTTCTGGGGTTCTGCCGCGCCTCGGAGGCCGAGTTGGCGTGGGCGGCAGCGGGGGAGCTCCTCGGGCAGCAGGACCGCGGTTCCGCTCCCGCTGTCCCGAGGCTGGCGCCGCCGCTGCTGCATTCGGATGCCCTATCGTTCGTTACTGTGCAAGGGCGGCCTTGGATTTGCACTTGCGGTGCCACGGTCTTCTCGCCCCCAGCAGTGGTGGAGGACGTGGCGGACGTTGTGCAGCCCCAGGTCGCGGAGTCCCAGCAGCTCCCGTCCGAGGAGTCGCCGCGCGCGCCTCCAACTCTTTCTCCGCTCTCTCCGCCTTCGTCGCCTTCGTTGGTGGGTGGTGAGGAGGTCCTGGAGTTCGAGGTGGAAGAGGACATCCTTGGCCCGTCGTCGGTGCGCGGCGAGGCGGACCTCCAGGGCGCGGACGAGGCCAGCGTCCCCCCGCTGCTCGCGGCGCACCCTGGAGGCGGGGGGGGGCTCTGCCAGCGGCCGACCTGTCAGCGACGGTTCGGCCGACGTTCCAGCGCGTTTTCATTCCTTAGGGACGGCTCTGGTGGGCGTCAGTTCTGCGCCTCCGCCACGGGTGGATGAGCGGCCGCTGCGCCGCCACGAGGCGAGGGAGGAGGAGCTAGGCACGTCTCGTAGTGCTCCCGCCCCAACTCTCGGGCCTGCCTCCACCCTGGACCAGCGGTTCCGCGAGAGGGGGGTAGGCATGGAAGAGGCGATGGCGGGCCTCGACGACGAGCAGCGGCGCATCTGGCAAGACGGAGTTGACGGCCTTGCAGGTGGCCCGCCCGGGGTCACCCTCGCCGTTCTCCCTCACAATGCTATCCTTAGCTTGCTGGCGCGGCTTTTTGTGCGTGAGGAGGGCATGACATTCGACGACGCCCGCAGCCTCATTCGCGACGCTTTGGGAGACATCGAGCGCGGGCATCATGTTCTCACCCTGATCGTTGGGATGAATAGCAGTTACACAAACCGTATGCGTGGTGGCAGTGAGTTGTCTTTGTGCGAGCAGGTTCGAGGCGACATCGAGTTTTGACGTCGGCATCTTTGGCAGAATGCTGCTGGCAGTGCGGTCGCTGGACGTGGCGCTCCTTGTCGGCGGCGCGCCCTTTGTGGGTCTGCGCCGTTCGCTGGCTTACCCTTCGGCGCGAGCTCTACTGGGAGCAGCTGGGAGTAGGGGGGGCGTCCATGCCCAGGTCAGCTGGGGCACTCTGCAGGTCTTTATGTGACATTTTGCCGTTGCGCTCTCTCAACTTGTTTCGTCGCTTGTGCACTGTCACTGCCACGCCGTGCCATATTGTGTTGGACGTGTCCTTTACAATGCTGCGCTGCCGTCTCGGCTTCGCTCAAATTGTTCTCAGAGGAGCATGCAGTATTGATATTGATCGTTTTCCAGATTTCCAGGTTGTCCTGTTCTTCCGCGCGGGCTTCAGGGACGAATTGTCGAGCGCGCTCCGTCGCCCAGGTTCTTCGCGTGATGTTCGCGGTGCATTTTTCGCGCATCGGAGCGCCCTCGAAGATTCCAAGCTGCATGCTGTGTTGCTCCTGGGGAGTCCGCGAGTCGCAGCTGCCGTGGCGCTGTTTTCGAGGTAGCCCCTTCGAGTGCTTTTCGCGGGCGCAACGCGCGGCGCGCTCTGCGCCCCATCGCGCGCGGCGCGGCGCGCGAATCAGCCGCCCGCGCCCGTCGGGCCGCCCGGACATATATTTCTGGATCATCGAATGCGTCGGCAAATGTTTCTGCCTCTTTTTTTTCTCGCGCAGGCGGTTCCCGGATTTTGTCAAGAAGGAGCCCGGGCATTTTCAAAACAAATAGAGGAGTGGAATGCGCCCGCCGCGCAGGACATCCGAAGAATTCTGAAAACTGGAATTTTTCAAAATGGATTCCGGAATTTTTCAACATCGACCCCGGAAATTTTTGAAAAAACACGGTTCTGACATTTTTCGAAAAGTAGGCCGGACATGTTGAAGAATGTTCCCGGATTTGAATTTTCCAGAGTCGCGCATGATTTGCCTTGCCAGATCTTTGGGGATCCGCCAAAGCGCGCGGTGCGCGGCGGCGGGCGATGGGGCGGCGCGCCACCGCCCCCCCCCCCCTCCCCCGCGCTCGGCAACGAGAAGGGGGGTCAGCAACTGCCAAATGGCCCCTTTACGGGCGACCGCTCGATTGCGAATGGATGACCGACCAGCGACGCCAACCAGAGTAGACAATACTCGACGCAAAGTGTACCCCGCGCGAAGGCTGCTAGAAATCCCGGAATCTCCGGACCGTATCATTAGCACACTGTGTCAATAGATTCTTCTCGTCCTATGTTCGGCGTTCACCCGTTGGCGTGAGGGCTTAGGAACGTTCCCCATTGCGGTCAGCGTGTTTTCAGGGTTGCCCGATTTGTATTCGAGCTTGCTTGGTCGTTTCCGCGTCACTTGGGTGCGCCGCGTGGCGGCGTCGGCTGGACGTGGCGCGCCTCCTCGAATTATCGGAGCGTTCCCAGCTGTTCAGCGCTTGTGGGCTTCTCAGTCACTGTGGGCACCTCAGTTGAGCCGTGCGCAGTCGGTCTGTCTCTGTTCTCACGTTTGCGCGTCAGCCGTTGCAGCCGTGGCGAGGGGGTGCCGCAGGCTGGGCGTTTCCCTTCCTCACGCTCGCCCTTGCCCTGAGGCTGACGCCTTCCGCTCGCTCGGGCCCGCGGCGGTTCGGGCCAGGCCGCTGCGGCCGCCTGGGCCCAGAGCTCGCGCCGCGCGAGCCCGGCTGCAAAGCTTTAACAACAGGCCCCAGCGGCAGGTTCCGCGCGGCGGTCCTGTCTCGATCCCCGCGCGCACCTCGCGCGTTTCGTGGCCCCTCGCAGGGTGCCTCCAGCAAAGGCCCCAGCGGCAGGGTCTGCGCGACGGCTCCGCATCGATTTCGGCGCACCCCTGCCCCATCAGGAGCTCCACCAGAGGACCCAGCGGCAGGTTCCGCGTGGCGGCCCTGCAAATATTTCAGCACACCCCTCGCGCGTCTCGTGGCCCCAGAGGGGGCTCCATTGAAGGCCCCAGCGGCAGGGTCCAGATGGCGGCCCGCGAGCGCGTCGACACGCCCCCCGCGCGTCGCGTGGCCCCGCAAGATGCTCTGAGGAAGGCCCCAGCTGCAGGGTCCGCATGGCGGCCCCGCGCCCATTTCGGCGCGCCATTCGCGCGCGCGCGTTTCGTGGCCGCACCGGGGCGAGCTCCACCGAAGGCCCTGGCGGGGCCCGCGCGGCGGCCCCGCTGCGCGCCTCCCCCCCCCCCGCGCGCGCAGGATGTCCCGCCGAAGGCTCCAGCAGCAGAGAACGCGCGGCGACCGTGCGCAGGGCGCAGGTTTCGGCGCACCCCTGCCCCTGAGAACGCATGGCGGCCTTGCAAATATTGCAGCGCCCCCTTCGCGCGTCTCGTGGCCCCAGAGGGGGCTCGACGGAAGGCCCCAGCGGCGGGGTTCGCATGTCGGCCCTGCATTCATTTCGGCACACCCCTCACTCGTTTCGTGGCCCCACAGGGAGCTCCAACACAGGCCGCAGCGGCAGAGTCTGCGCGGTGGCCCCGCACGCATTTCAGCACGCTCCTGGCGCGCTTCGGCGCCGCGGGCAGCTCCGCCGAAGGCCCCTGCGGCAGTCGTGGCCCCTTGCAGGGGGTTTCACCGGCGGCTCCAGCAGCAGCGCCCGCGCGGCGGCGCTGCGCCGATTTCGGCGCGCCCCTCCGCGCGGCGGTCCACGCGGAGCTCCTTCGCAGGCCCCGACGGCAGATTCCGCCTGACTGCCCCGCGCCAATTTCTGCACACCCCTCACGCGTCTCGTGGCCCCACAAGATGCTCCGCTGCCAGCTGCGGTGTCCGCGCGGCGGCCGCGCGCCCATTTCGGCGCGCCCATCGCGCGCGCGTCTCGCGCCCCCCCCGAGGGAGTTCCACCGAAGGTCCCAGCGTCAGGTGCGCATGGCGGCCCGCGAACATTTCGGCACACCCCTCGCACGTTCCGCGGCCCCGCGGGCACCTGCCCCTCCTTCGCCCCGCCTGCCCTGAGGCGCTCGCGCCCTCGTGTGGTCGGGCCCGTCGCCTGGATCTCCCCTCTCCCTTGCATTTTTGCGGCGGGCCTTCTCCCGTCGTCTAGCCGCGGAGCCCGGCCCCCTGGTTTGCCTCGGCCTCTTGAGGGGCGTCTCGATAATCCCTTCTTGGGCGCGCTGCTGGGCAAGCTCCCGGCCGCCGCGTCAGGCAGCCCGCGCTCGCGCGGGCAGAGAGAGAGAGGGCGGCCTCGAGCACGCTGCCTCGGGGCGTCGCAGCGTGGGCCCTCGAGCGTCTCGATCGCCCTCCGCCCCCCCCTGGTGCGGCCACCGCTATCTTAGCCAAACGCTTCTCCAGGTCCAACATCAGTTCGGTCTCCCAACCGAGGCAGCGACGCATTTTGGGGCCGTGGGGGTGCTATGAGATGTAAAAAACCGCCACTCTGACTTCACGTTCATCTCGCGGCCCCCCCCCCCCCCCCCCCCCCCCCCCAAGCGCCGACGCCGCCCGCGCTCGCAGATATGTCAATGATATTCTTAGTTGGCTCGACAATTCATGCGCGCCATTATCGTCTCGTGCGCGACCCGCCCCGGGCATCGACTTTAACGAGCGCATTGGCCTCGCGGGAGCCCCAGCTGGGCGCGCCCCCGCAGGCGACGCGTGCACTGGGCCCTTCAATCGCAGTCTACAACAGCCTCGTACGCATTCGTTTATTGATTTCTTGCTCAAGCACGATCTGCTTGCACTCGACACGTGCTACCCCGCGTCCCCTACACGTTATCATGGCTTACCGGGACCCACTAGCCACGTCGACTGCATCATTGTGCCGCACCGTGTTTTATTGGGTCCAGCAAGTGATGCAGCGCCGAACGTTGTGCTCTCTTGGTGATCGACTACAGCTGGTTCCTGAAACCAAGCGCGTCGACCATCATCCAGTATGCGCACTCGCCCAACACAACTTGAGATACGATGGGCAGGAGGGACTTCATCATGTCCACTAGGGTTTTGATTCATTGGTTCGATCTTGCATGCAAGGCCCCAAACGACAAGAGTTTCTCATCGCGCTCGAATAGTGGGCAGCTCACCGCGCTGACGATCTCGACGCCGTTTCAGAACAAGCTCATCAGAACAATGGGGAACTCTAATCGGAACAGGCATACACTCTCTCGCTGCGGAGTACCACGGAAACACAGACAACAATCTAGACAGCATTCTCACGAGCACCAAGCACTCTTCCATCGTCGACGTGAACTGTGCTCTCAAAGTCTACATCCAGTGCAAACTTCTACACGTGGTGCTCTATTTTATACGTTTCAACATTGGCGCAATCTCGCTCCGTGGTTCATAGTTAACCGTCTTATTCGCAAGTTTCATGCCGCGCGCACAAAAGCCTTTAACGATCGACGCCGCCTCCAATTACAAGACGCTTGGCGAGGGCGACGGCTAGCTGAAGTATG